TGCCAAAACCCAGCGCTCGACTCACAGATGAGAACAATGCTGAAAGACACACCATTATAGGTACCATTCGCCCTCGCTCTCCAAGACCAACAGCGGCGGTGATTGAAGTTGAGGGGGATGATGATGAAGATCAGGAGATTCGGCCACTTAAATGGAAGAAAGGATCAGGTAAGTACATATTGCATGATTCAGCAGCTGACACTTATCATTGTACTGCAGACGACATATTCAATAACGCTAGCGAGAAGGATCAGGATGTCTACAATTCTGAAGGCCACCTGAAAGATCTTGCCCACATTGTGGAGCCGAGTGAGAAGAAGACAAGACTCAAAGAGACCGCTGATATACAGGCATTTTTTGATGACCCTCGAGAACGTCGTCATCCTTCCAAACCAGACAAGAAGCAGCGCATTCGTGATTGTCGGCTTTGCAAGTAAGGTTTAACGCGTTATTATAACTGCTTTTGTTGATATGATTTGACTCGTTATTGCAGGAAAACGCGCATTGGCGAGCACACCATCATTGCAAATGTGACAACACTGCGACGGCACTTGCAGTGTCACCATAAGGTATGCTCATTCCACTGATTTTGTGCCTTTATTAATGGCACATATAGCACAGATACTACAAGTGGTGCCAGAAAGAAGCTTTCAAATCGAAGCTTCCGGACGACGTAACAGCCCGAAAGGCAAACATTGTTGAAGGCTATAAGACACAGGGCACATTAGATGGATGCGTTCAGATGGGAGATGTTGTCGAACGTGTCCTTCCATATTCCGATGATGCGTTCCGGGCTGTCACAATACAATGGCTTGTGGAGACAGATCAGGTGAGCTGTTCAAAAGAACAGGTTTGATTCGACTTACTGATGAAGTTTACTAGCCCATCAGTGCCCTCGAACACCCAGCATTCAAGAAGATGATCCAACTTGCCTCACGTGCCAAGGGCGTCATCAAGATCTCTAGACGATCCACCACACGGCGTGAAATCATCAATTTATTTCATCAACACTTACGCGACTTGAAGCGGCGTCTGACGGTATGTATATCCTTACTGTGTAGACCCTTTTGACCTACATTGATGCCTCAGAGACTGACTGTATCTGGCAAGATATCACTTACCTGCGATGCTTGGCAAGCAAGCAACATCGATGGCTATTTCGCTGTAACTGCCCACTGGATCGAGGAGAAGGTGTCAAGTGCATGGACGTTAGAGGGCACACTCATCGGTTTCGTGCAGATGAATCGCTCACATCACGGTAAACGTCTCGGTCAAGCATTATATAAGGTCGCCAAACGCGTTGGGATAGCAGAAAGAGTGAGTGCTAATCTAATACTATGTGAAATCATGTGTGCCTTGATGACGAGCCTTCATTGACTTGCAGATATTCATGGTGACATGCGACAATGCGAGCCCCAACTTAACGATGATGAGAGAATTCGCCAGGGTCGTCAATAAAGAAAATCACATAGATTTTGATGCAGACCAGCGGCGCGTCGGGTATGTATCTGTATTGTTGATGCAAAAGCTTCGAGCCACTACTGATTACATTTATCCTACAGATGCCTCGCCCATATCATAAACTTAGCTACTTAAGCAGTGATAGCTGCGCAAAGTAAATCTCCTCACTATGATCCTCACCAGCCCGACGCGCACTTACCAGATATGAACGCACTTGTGCGTGATGAAGTCGGACTTATTCGTGCTATATCGGTCAAGGTAGGCACGAATAAAGCAGCCAGGCTGAGCGTTCACCGTCCAGTGTAATACTGATCGTCATCACACAGGAACGCTCTTCAAGTCAGTGCAAGCAGCGCTTTCATGATATTCAAGTGACAGCCGGTGCTGTCTTCAATGACATCAAGGCTCTTACAGTCGATATGAAGGTCCGTTGGTCATCGACGTACATGATGTTAAATCGTGCCTACAGTCTTCGCACGGCAGGTTTTTAATATAGACTTCTGTGTGTGCCTTCATAGCTGACTGAAGACATGCCTTTACAGCACGTCGAGAAGTTCATTACAGAAATCTCTCACGCTGCCAAGGATCGCGCAACCTCAGCAAAATTGTACTCACTGTTGCCCAGCGCTGAAGAATGGAATCGCGTCAAGAAGTTTCAGCGCATTCTACAGGTATGTTCAGCACCCTCACTGTGATATTTAGACTTTGCATGACCGTCCATCCATGTCAGAGTGCGGACACTTGCCAACAGCGTTTCTCATCTGAGCATGAACCTGCACTACATCTCGCCTTACCTGCGCTTGAAGATTTGCACGCGTGCTGGACGGAGCAACTTCAAACGACCAGTATGAGTATTTCGAAGCCGGATTACAGTCAGGGCTTGACAAGATTAGCGAGTATTATGACAAGACAGGTGACAACGACGTGTATGTATTCTCAATCAGTACGTACATTTGTGACTTACATGAATCAAATGAGTACTGACATATAGCCCTAGTCTTAAACCCTCGTATATGATTCTCATTCTTTGAGAGGAGCTGGCCAAAGTCTCTGCGTGATGAAGCCATGTTGCTTATCAGGCGAATTGTAAGTCACTCCTTATTTCGTATGTTGCTAGCCACTAATGAAGTCATGCTAGTACAAGGAGAGGTATGCGGATGTCTGCGGCGCTGCCAATCCTGCCAACGAAGCAATGTCACTTAAGACGAAGTCTATTCGACGCATGGGCTCCATGCTTGCTGACCTGTCCTCTGATGAGGAAACTCATGCCACGCCGTCTAGAGGTGCAAGCCAGACTGTCATAGATCCAGGACAGGAGTGGGAGAAGGAGTTCAATAAGTATGTAATGCTCGATGATGATATTCCAGAGACGGTCTCTATGGTGCATTGGTGGGGGGGTACGTACTACATATTTTTGTACGGAAGGCCTTCTGCTGATCTCCACTTACGCAACGGTGCAGCTCAATGCACACCGCTTCCCTATATGGGCTTCGCTTGCACGCGATTATCTTGCAATTATGGCAACCTCGGTCTCAAGTGAATGGGCCTTCTCTAGCGCAGGCATCACGATTACTAAACGACGAAACCGGTTGAAGGGCGACATTGTTGAGGCCCTCCAGGCACTCAAATGTGCGTACCGTAAGAACCTGTTTTTTCATGATGTTGGGCCTTCGTCTTTCACGGAGGAGGAGTTAGAAGCTGCTGAAGAGAACTATGACCCTCACGCGATGATATTGATGAAAATCTGGTGCTAGACCTGGATTCTGATGTAGAAGACGATGATGTTGATGTGTAGATCACTCAATTAGATTCATATTCTTTCTATGAAGTGCAAAAATGCATTTCTGCGAGTGTCTATATAACAAGCCCGAGGCTGAGCCCAAGCCCGGCCTGAGCCTGACCCGGCCCTCCAGTGAAGGCCCGGCTTGTGAAATATGCAAGCCCAAGCCCCCTCAAGCCCAGCCCGGCCCTGGGCTTTCAAGCCCAGCCCGGCCCTGAACAACACTACTGCTTCTGGGTCTCTACTGCTGCTGAACTTGAAGTGTCTTGCTGCTCATCATGGCTGAACGGCTACCATTACTCCCCAAGAGTCAGCAGCTAGGACGAGACAACTGGCTCGATTGGAAGGAAAAGATCAACTCCTGTTGGAATATCAAGCCTAGCCAAGATAAGTATTGACTTATATTCCTACTTATCATCAGTATTTCCTTTTACGTACTTATCGGGCATTAGCGCCCGTAAGACTTTTCACCCGCTTCACTCGTTCTGCGGGCTTCAGTCCTTCTATCATCAAGCATCTGAAGCCCTGTGAGTACTCATACTGTCCCACATGAAAGTAGCTTATGTACTGATGTACCGTAGTTGACTCTAGGTACATACTAATTCAGTCCTTCTATCATCAAGGATCTGAAGCCCTTTGACTCTAGCGTCTGCCCTCCCTTCCACTCATTTTCCATCCGTCTACAGGTTATGAGCCCCATCCGCCACTATGAGATGTCGCTCAGCAATCACGAATCATCAGTCAGGATCCCCCGCCTCGCAGAAGATGAATCGAACTGGGTGCTCTATAAGGAGCAACTCAGGTCCGCTGTAACGGCGAAAAAGCTGGTGCGATATCTCGATGACCGCGACAAGCAGCCTACTGCACCCACAGCTCCAGGGGTGGATTCCGACACAGACGAGGCATACGCAGATGCGTACAACACTTGGGCCGCTGGACATGAGGCGATCAAAACGCTTCTATACCAGACGCTACCGGAAATGCTGAAACTCCGGATTATCCTCGAGAGGAAGGCGTCCAGAGCTTGGAAGGTGGTCATAGCTGAGTACGACAACCATGGTGACTTCGTACAGGCTGAACTACTCTGATGGATGCATGCTCTCCGCTGCACTGAGGAGAAGGACCCCCGACCAATTCTAGATAGGCTCCAGAAGCTCAAGGTCGAGTTCATGACAGCTGGCGGCATTCTTGACGACAAGCAATATCGCGTGCTCATGATCAGCTGCCTTCTGAAGTCTTATCACCCTGTTGTATGCACCATCCTCTCCGCTGCTCACCTGGCTTCCATGCAGGCTACTGGCACCACCACAACTCCCACTCTCACCATCACATCCGATGAACTCTTACACCAGATCTACTAGTCGCACGCGATGAGTTTGCTCTGGATGAGTCACAGAGCACTGCTGATGACTCTGTGCTCATGACGAGGTCAGGCGACAAGGACGTGAGGAAGAAATGCAACAATTGCAGCAAGCCCGGCCACCTGAAAGAGGACTGCTGGACAAAAGGTGGCGGAAAAGAGGGCCAAGGGCCACAGAGCAAGAACTGGGAGAGAAAGCACAACAAGGGCTTAGGGGGAGCCAGTGCGAATGCGGTGACAACAGGCAATGACGAGGCATTCACATTCGCCATTGCAACTGATTTCTCGAAGGTCGAGGGAGCAAAGCTCCTGAAGCTCACCCGAATCCTTGATTCAGGTGCAGGCCGACACTTCGATCCAGTACGCTCAAATTTCATCACCTTTCAGGACACCGAGCACAAGCTGATCACTTCAGCCGATGGACGCATCTTCTATGCCACAGGCGAAGGTGACATTTGCGTCAATACTGTACACAAGGGAAGAAGCGTGAAGTTTACGCTACATGACGTCCTCTACGTGCCGTCCATGCCCTTCACTCTCATCTCTATCAGCTGCACTATGAAGGCTGGCTACACCATCCATTTTGAGCACGACGGGTGCCATGTCGTCTCCCCTCGAGGTACCACTGTGTTTGTAGCCGCCGAGCACAACAGTCTGTACCCCCTACCTGGATCGCCGATCCCATCAGCACCCGCGAAGGACACAGTGTTGACGATGATGCTGTCACTCACTGAGTTCCACTGTCACATGGCACATGCCCATGCCCCTGCCCTCAAGAAAATGGTTGAGGTCAATATCGTCACCGGAGTGCGACTCGAGGACTCGACCACCGATTTCTGCAAATCATGCACAAAGGCGAAGCAGACTCGTGAGTCATTCCCGAAGATGCACTCGAGCCTGCAAGTAACTGCATACGGTCAGCGTGTGCACACGGACATATGGAGGAAGGCGCTGGTGAAGTCCCTAGCAGGCAAGGAGTACTACGTCTCCTTTATAGACGATTACTCAGACGAGGTGATCATCTGCCCTATTGCCTGCAAAAGCGATGTCCTCACTTGTTACAAGGCCTACAGCTCGTGGACAAAAACTCACCGAGGTGTCAAGGCCATCAAGGAGCTGCAGAGTGCTAATGGAGGGGAGTACATGAGTACAGAGTTCCAGACTTACCTGAAGAGTGAAGGTACGCACCATTGCCGGACCGTGCATGACTCCCCACAGGAGAATGGCAAAGCCGAACACATTAACCGTATGCTTGCCGAGCACTCCCATGCGCTACTCTTCGATGTGGACCTCCCCAAATTCCTATGAGCTGAGTCCGCCATGCACACCGTGTGGCTTCGCAACTGCACGACGACGCACAGCACCCCCGGGTCAACCCTGCATGAACGCGCTACCAGCGAGAAACCCCATCTCGACCCCCTACCACATTTTGGATGCACTGTATGGGTGCGCATTGACGCAGCCTCAAAGCTCGATCCGAAGTCGCATCCAGGCCACTGGGTTGGGTTCGATGCGCACAGCAAGGGCCACCACGTGTACTGTGCTGACAAGCGCAAGGTATCCGTCAAACACGATGTGCCTTTCGTCGAGGAAAACGCACCCATCTCCGTCAACATTCAGCCCGAGGGGGAGCCGAACAAGGCTAAAAGCAGCCAGAATGTGCCTACAGACACTTCACTCCAACCTCCATCGACCTCCACATCAGCCGTGACCATTGCGCCATCCAATGCCATTCAACTGCCTGCAACCATCCCAAATGAGTTGACGAACGTGAACGCAGAGCCACCACAGCCAGAGAGCATGGCGACCAAGCCAGAGAGCATGCCTGAGGCAGGAGCTGGACATCCTAAATGTGTGCATCAACCATCTCAATGGATACGTGACTTACAGTCAGGTACTGGCACCACCGGTGGACGTGGCACACAGTGCGTTCCGAGGAGCATTCTCAAGCACATGAAGCTTGTGCAGGATCAGCCAGAGGATGAGTACGATGATGAGGGGGAGACCCTCTATGCTCTGGCAGCCATGGCTGGTGACACTCCATTGTACCAAGAGGCGATGGCCGGGCTGGAATGCGAGCAATGGCAAGAGGCGATGCAGGAGGAGCTGGTGAAGATAGAGGTGATGGGAACCTACGAGCTAGTCGAGAAGCCGGAGAACGTGCATGTCGTCAGATCGGTATGGTTGCTTCGCAGGAAATGCGACGAGAATAACGATATCGCGAAGTACAAGGCATGCCTATGCACGCAAGGATTCTCGCAGATCTCAGGCATTGACTTCGACCAGACGGCATCGCCGACAGCAAGTCTTGCATCACTACGGCTCGTACTCGCGCTCGTCGCTGCTAACGACTGGGAAGCCCACCAGATCGACTTCAAAAATGCATATCTGAACAGCGAGCTCGACGAGACCATCTATATGAAGCAGCCGTGCAGTTTCGAGGTTCCCAGATGTGAAGACTATGTCTGGAGGCTCCTCAAGGCACTGTACGGCCTCAAACAGGCTGGTCAACAGTGGTATATTCAGCTCTGTGAGCTGTTTGCTGGCTTGGGTCTAGAGCGCAGCAAACACGACTACGGTGTGTTTTTCGCCTTTGTTTCTAAGGTCATCATCATCATTGTTGTCTACGTCGGTGACTGCACGCTCATCACCAACACGATGCCACCATGACTGATCTGAAGCGGGAGCTCGCTGCATGATTTGAGATCGTCGACCTGGGCGAGGCGCACTGGCTTTCAGGCTTTGAGATTCACCACGACTGCACTGCTCGCACCATCTCGCTCTTGCAAGCTGCGTATATCGACACTATACTCGATCGCTTCAGCATGACCAATGCCTATGCACTCATGGTCCCGATGGACTCCCACGTAAACCTCTTCAGCATCGAGCTCATGGATGAAGATCGTGTGCACATGGCTCGCAAGCCATATGCGAGGCTTGTCGGGAGCCTTATGTATGCCACCATCGGCACACGTCCTGACATCGCATTCGCCACTTCGACTCTGGCGCGCTTCATGGCTGACCCAGCACCCGTGCATTGGAAAGCCGCAAAACGCATGCTGCACTATCTTAAAGGCACACGCGACCTGGCCTTGACGTTCAGTGCGACAACCGATGGTCTTATAGGCTATACCGATGTCGACAGGGCCTCGCAAGCCCATCGTCACTCAATCTCAGCCTACAGCTTCCTCTATACTGGGGGAGCCGTTAGCTGGTCTTCGCGCAAGCAGCCTCTCATTGCGCTGTCTTCCACGGAGGCGGAGTACATTGCCGCATCTGATGCATCACATGAGCTGTTGTGGCTATGCACGCTTCTCGCAGAACTCACCTTGCCTCTGGCAGAACCGACACCGTTACACACTGACAATCAGAGCACAATCGCGATCACGCAGAGCGGACTCCTTCATGCGCGAATGAAGCACATCGACATTCGCTATCATTTTATTCGTGAGGTTATCGATATGGAATGCACCGTCATCTTGTATTGCCTGACCAACGACATGGTCGCT